TGCCTTCTAAGGATAATCTGAAAGAAATGGGAGTATTTACCCTGGAAAAGAGAAGAATTAAGGGCATATGATAGATGTCTTCAAGCATCTGAAAGGCTGTTCTGTAGGAGATTAAGACTCAATCAGATTAACCCCTGAGAGTAGAAATAGAAGAAATGTGTAGAAGTTTCAAAGTGGCAAATCTAGGCTTGATGTCAGAAAAATGGATATTGAGGAGGGGTATTCTTGTTCAGGTACATTGGAGTAGATATCCTCTGAGGCCCTTCCAACTCAGAGATTTGGTAGTGACTGTATGACTCCCAAATTTTCTCCAGCCCTGTGTGGCAGTGCAAGATTTCCAATTTCCTACTAAGCACTGGAAATATAGAAGCATAGGCTGGGAGGCTGTACTAAAAGATTATTGGTTTCACATCCAGCTCTAAGATTTCTATGATTCTTTATGCTCTGCTGTCACATCAAATCAGGAAGTGTAAAATCAAACTCCATCTATCTTCTGACTCTGTTCCCTTCAACAAAATACTCATAAACACTGATTTCGCATCCATTATGTACAAGACCCTATTGCTAGTATTCATGATACAAACATGAGTAACAAAGAGTCAGGGTTGAAATCAAGTCTCAGATACTTAAAATCTATGTGATCACGAGCAAAACATCTCACATCTCTGATCATCAGTTTCCTCACCTCTAAATCCAGATAATAATAGCACCCACCTCATGGGATTCTGATGACCCTTGATGATTGGTAGTATAACGTGATATTTTCTATGCTTTGGGAATAATCTTATTTTTGAAACATCTTGAAAATAAACTGAGTTACCTTTAAAATTATGTCAATTTATCTGTATTAGACACTCTATCTCATGGCTCTAGGATTGTTGTGAGGATAAAATGAGATATTTGTAAAGTAGTTTGAAAACCTTAAAACACTCCTTAAGTGCTAGCTGTTGTCATTATTATTGCTGTTGTTATTACCATGAGACCACAGGGAGAAAAAGAGTATTTTCAACTCCATAGATGTTGACTATGAAGCATAGTGCTAAGGAGAGCGGGAGCTGAGAATCTGTCCATCAGAAGAGAGGGAATAAATATTGTCTAGGGGAACACACATTCTTAGGGCCTCCTGTTCACAAAGCATTAAGTCCAAGCCCTCACCAACTCTGACTTCTTCAAGGTAAGAAGCTCTGGGATAGTTCTGCAACCCTAGTGGCTGAGAAAGAATGAGGCCCCTGTGGTCTGGGTAAAGAAGGTGATGGACCAGTTAGGTAATGATAAAAAATCAAGAAAGAAGACAGATGGCCCAGGTGCTACACTGGTGATCTCAAGGTATCTTAAGAATGAGGGAGAAGACCTCTAACATGTTGGGCATCTTCCTTTGGGAGGATTTAGGAAAACAGTCCCATGGGTTAAGACAACAGATTTAGAGTCTGAAGACTTGGTTTCAAATATCATCTCTACCAGTTACTACCTGTGTGACCTCACCTCTTCAGGCCTCAGTTTCCTTATCATCAAAATAAAGAGACTAATCTAGAGGGCCTCTGTGGTCCCTCCTTTATAGCTCAAAATCTATGATAGATCATGATCTATGATATCACTGAGGGATTGTGATCTGAATTAGAAGAGATCACCCATATTTATGAATCATGGATCCATCAAAGCATTGTCTTCCCTTATCTATCTCCATAACAAAACTTATCTATCCTGTGTCCTTTGATCAGAATTCTACTCAATTCATAAATTAGTCTATGTGCTAATATCAGTTTATGTATGTGTATATATAAATGTATAGTATATATTTGTGTGTGTGTGTGTGTATACATACACACACACACACACACACACATTACCCTACTAGATGGTGTATTTCAATTTGCATGGGAACTCTGTGAAATAAAATGCCATATCCCAAAAGTTGACTAATAAGAATTTCTAATACTATCATAACTAGTAAAGGAGATATTGGCAACAGGTGAGGACCGTGATAAGCAGGTAGGTGGTACAGCAGATAGAGTGCTGGGCCTGGAGTCAGGAAGACTCTTCCTGAGTTCAAATCTGTCCTTCGATACTTACTAGCTGTGTGACCCTGGACAAGTCACTTAACCCTGTTTGCCTCAGTTTCTCCATCTGTGAAATGAGCAGGAGAAGGAAATGGCAAACCACTCCAGTATCTTTGTCAAGAAAACCCCAAATGGGGTCACAAAAACTCAGACAGGAGTGAAAAAAGAAAGAATGACAAGAAGACTGTGAAGTCCCTCAAATCATACGATCGGAGTGGCTCCCAATTCAATCTACAAAAATGGTTCTGACGCGACATGTAAAAATCTCAGGGGAGAACATCTATAATGGATTGAATTACAGGGAATGGCAAGGCAGAACTGGTGCTGTAGTTATCATAAAAACATCACTAAACAGACTCTCCATATGTTCAGGAAGGAAAAACCTGAAAATTGGGCTTTTATTGTCATAGGTGTGGACATTTTAAAAGAAGACTGCCAAAATAAAGAAAAGTATTTCAGAGACAGATTAACTGCAGATACACATGATGAATGTGCCACTAAGGGTGTGATCAAACAGCTCTATAAATAATTGATTCAATTCAAGAACTGTTTGTTAACCCCATGGTTATGGGAAAGATTTAAAAAAAGATTAAGCCACCATCCTGCCGCATAGGAGTGCGCAGATCAGCAGGCAAGATAAAACATGAAATGACTATGATCCTGGGCCCCCGGTAGACCCTACAGAAGAGCTACATAGTTCTATGGTGACACAGAAGAAATAAGAAATGACCGAGGTGTGGTCAGGAGAAGAACAGATCAGGAGAGGTTTTGTAAAGGGCATAGCACTAGAACACAGATCCTTGAGGGATTGCCAGGAAAAGCTGGGGGAAGGAAAAGCATTGCAGGCAGAGGGAGCAGCATGAATAGAAGCCTAAAAATAATTTAAAAATAAAAATAAAAAAAATAAAAAAGATCAGAGTGTGTATTTAGGTGAATGAACTAGTTGGGTGGATTGGGCATGAGATGAAATGGGAAAATAATAATAATGATAATAGGTAACAGTTATACAGCACTTGCTATGTGCCAGGCACATGCTAAGAACATTATAAATATTATCACAGTCCTGCAAGGCAGGTTCTATTATTATCCCTATTTTACAGATGAGGAAACTGAGGCAAACAGAGGCATGACTTGACTAAGTTTACACAGCTAGTAAAGGTCTGAGGCTGGATTTAAATTGACAAGCTTTGAGCAAGGTGACTGACATAAGTATACCCCATCAAACATTACACTCACGGGAATACAGAAGATGCATTGGAATTGAGAGAAAATGAGGACGAAGATCACTTAGAAAGTTATTGTAGAAATCCAGGCAGGATGTTGCGAGGCTCTAAAGTAAGGAAGTGACAAGAATGATGGGAAGGAGGAAAGAAGTGAGTAAGATTTTTGCAGAGATAGAATCAACAAAACCATTGGACATGAGCAGGGGGAGAAGGAGAGGAGAGGATGAGGAAGATGAAGGGAAGGGACAGACAGGTTCCTCTTGATATATAATACCCTGGCTTCTTTTACAAGTTGAATTATGGGGAAAAAAATCACTATAGTTGCCATGAAGTTAAGATTTAGCCTGAATCCTAAAAATACCTATCACGGTGACATTAACTTTAAAAGTGCAGATCTCTGTAAATCAATGTCCTCAAAGTTAACACATAAACCATTGCTTATTCATATATCAAACGTATTTTTAAAGGACTACTAGGGATGAAACCGCTACTTAATTTCACCTGAGTTTCTTAGTTTAGATTTTAATATAACCATAGTCAGTGACTTCATTAAAAGGCTTGTTTTTAAAGTAACAGTTGCTATCTTGTGACAGGCAAAGTACGAGCATGTCTATTTAACAAAAAGCCGTGTGAGACATCTGTTGTCTAGCACGAATCTTTCAAAGCATGTTGAAAAAAAAAACAGAAATGGCATCAGGGGGCATGCTTCATAGCTTCCCCATTAAAGGATAGGTACTTAAGCTTGTAGCTTTAACTTCATGCGCAGGTAGGCCTATGCTACGCCTTGTGCCCCACGACTAAAGCAGTGACTGGTAAAAACGATAAACTTCATAGGCCTACAATGCCTTTCCAGATATTAAAAAGAATAACTTAATGAGCAGTTACATGAGAACAGAAGACCCAATTAGCCTTCCTTCCTCTGTTCCGCACAAGGCCCCACTGAAACCTGACTTCAGGTCCTTGTGAAAGAGCCTCGTCAGCAAGGTTTCTTCTCTCCTGCCTGTGCTGATGGCAGAAATAGTTTGCATCTAAGAGCACACACCTTCATTAGATGTTGAGAACAGAAGGCTCATGACTATTTTGAAGAATTAGAGGAGGGATTAAAATTCACTTATTGGTAATTTGGAAATCAAACAACCACCAAACATATATTTGTGTGGCTTGTAATCTTCAAGGGTTAATTTCTATAAGATATTTCTTTAGCTCACAGTTTCAGGTTAATAATGTGTTGGTTTTTTAATTAATTTCAATTTCTAAAACAAGTCTAAAAGTTGTGGTACAATGGGAAGAGTACTAGATTTAGAGGAAGATATTGCAGGTTCAAATCCTGGTTTTTGTCCCTTATGATCAGTAAGGGCAATCTGGGACCTCAGTTTCCCCAATTGTAAAATGAAGGGATTTGACCCAAAAACCTCTGAGGAACTCAGATCCACACTTTTATGGTCTAGGACCCTAAAATGGAGTTTTCTACTTGTTACCTTCTTCTAGAAAGCTACCTTTCCCTAATGCAGAATTTATTCTATATGCCCATATGAACCCATTTGAGAGCTTTGATTCATAGAATGGGTTAAGCCACGAAAATTGCTTTTCGTGGGAGAAAACAACGCATGCACTCTCATCTACAGACAGGCAGATCAACCAGAAACACGATTATTTCCCCCTTCAAAAGGGAAATAAACTTTTATTGACGTGTTTAGTTAGGGCTGGGTGTGTTTATTACCTGAGGATGTGAGAACAATAATCCTGTCTCTTCATGCTTAACAATGGCTGCATTGCCAGGAATGTTTCTTACCAACACAGGAACTTCCAGGTCCATTGCCTAAAGAACGTAAAGAGGAAAAGAAGACAGGTGGGCTGATAGTAATCATTTTAAGGAATGTTTTTGGAGAGAAAAACCTAATTTGCAAAAGCACTCCCTCCTGTTGACTGGACCCCAGAACTTCACGTGAATGCAGCCTTGAGGATAGTTCAGACATTTCTGCCTGTCACATGTTTGAAAAACAGCTGAATTTTTAATCGCTGTAAGCGCATTTGGAAACCTGGAAAGCTCAGAGATGGGAACAGTGTTCTGGGCACAATCACTGTGGCAACACTGAGAAAACCCACCTCTCAGGGGGTACATTTTATACTGATTCACCAACAGGATGGAGAATACATTTTTAATTACCATCATTATTTTCCCTGATGAGTAATTTTCCTCCAGTACAAGTGGGCTGGGCGCCATTGAGGACTGAATGCATTTACTTGGCAGGCAGACAGGACAAAGAAGGGACCAGAAAGATCACATTGATTGTGCACTGAGCATGCCTTCCCTTTCTAAGAATGACAGGTAGAATTAGGTAGAAAGGGCTAGATCAATATGCGAAGAACATTCTGAAAAAGAGGTACCCAAAACAGACTATTGAAGGGGTTGATGGGCTGACCCAGCCTTCCTCAAGCAAAGGGAGACAGCAGAGAAAGCACTGGATTTAGACTGAAAGGGCCTGGATTCGAATGCTGATTCTGCTCCTTACTACCTTTGGGCAAGACATGTCATTTCTCCAGGCTTCAACTTCTTCATCTACAAAATGGGGATAATAAGATCTCTACAGTGGCTAGATGGTGCAGTGATAGAAAGCTGGGCATGGAGTCAGGAAGATTCCTCTTTGGGAGTTCAAACCCAGCCTCACACTCTTACTAGCTATGTGACTCTGGGCAAGTCACTTATTCTCATTTGACTCAGTTTCCTCATCTGTAAAATAACCTGAAGAAAGAAATTGCAAACCATTCCAGTATCTTTGCCAAGAAAACCCCAAATGGCGTCATGAAGAGTCAGATACGGCTGAAAGACAACTGAACAAATAAGACCTCTAATACCTAGCTCACAGAAGGATGGGAAGAAGGAAAAAAAACCCCAGCATTTATTAAGTGCCTACTATGGGTCTGGCACCATGCTAAATGCTTTACAATTTGATCCTCATAACAACCCTGGGAGATTAGTGCTACTATTATCTTCATTATATAGTTGAAGAAACTGAGGCAGAGCTTAAGTGTGTGTATGTGTGTGTGTGTGTGTGTGTGTGTGTGTATAGAGACACACACACATATACACACAAATATACAAATGAGCTAAAATACCTAAAATTCTTTTTCAATCCTTAAAAGTGCCATACAGAAATCAGCAATGATTATTTCCAGGAAGAATAGCTAATCTCTTCTGCTTACCTGGTGTCAGGGAATGAATGAACTTGCTTTGTAGGCAAGCAGCCATATTCTATCAGGCTTTTGCTGGCCAGTGTTTTAGGGAACATGGCTAAATTAACTGGCTTGATTGGTGTCTTGAATTAGGACCTTTGTTCTGCCAATGACACATGCTATCAGTAACTCCATGTAATAATAAGCTCTCATAACGGTGCTGTAATTTGTTTCCAGAGATGACCAGCCTTATAATCCTAACATACAAATTCCATCAGTGGATAATTTTTCAATCTCAATTTCTCATAGGACAATAGCTCTACATTGAACGGTCCGTTTAGACAATGGCTGTGACCCAAAAGAATCTACTTATTTGCTAGAATTTGGCAGTAGGGAGTAATGCCTATGATAGGAGAATCTGGGCATAGAGAGCATAAGTATAAATTGGCAATGAAACAGTGTTCCCTAAACTTTCATTGCTTGTTAGCCAAAGGCTAAGCTTTTTATGACCTATGACCTTACCTTTTCTATGCCTGACTTTGCTTCACCCATCTTCACGGCTTACAGCTCGTATGGTCTGATTAGACCACATCTGAGCTGGCAATGGGTGAATGTTCCTTGAGGGCAGAGGATGCTTCATTTCTGTTTTTGTAGCTTCAGTGCCTACCACAGCACCCTGAACATCGTAGGTGCTTAATAAATGCTGGTTGAACTGATGGGAACTTTTGGTGGGCACCTTGTAGAAGTGCTTTCTTATTCAAGTTTGGATTGTAGTTGGTGACCCCAGACTCTGATGATCTAGGATTCTGTGAAAATTTCAAGACAATTCCTTCTTTTCCTCTCCAAGTAAGTTTCTATTAGTTTTATACATGTTGGAAATTCCTCTTTCACTTATAAAAACAATTGTGTTTCTCACAGACAGAGGACATGAACAGAACCAGTATTTGGAACCACACAAAGCTTTGTGGTTTTAAGTTCAATTATAACATATTTTATTATATAATATTTATATAACATATTTTATTGCATATTTATATAACAATTATATAATACATAATATAAAATCAATTATCAAAAATTCAATTAAATTCAGTATTTGCTGTGCATCCTACTGCTTGATAAAATTTATTCTGCTTTACTGTGTCTTCAAAACATGTTGTAGTATTTCAAGGTCAAAGATGTTTTCCATAGCCCACTAAAGAGATATTTTAGTTGTTGTCCATCCCTCTCCCTGCCACCTAACCAAAACAAAATTTTGGCTACTGTAAGACTATCTCAAAGAGAAGTAAGCTAGCAAATGGAATTTTATTTCTTACATGTCTTTTGGAAAATATATCTTATTGAGGGATCAAGAGATTACTTCCTTCAAAGTTAAAACAAACAAACAAATAAAACCAAACACAAAACACTTATTCAATGATTAAGTATTTTGGGTGAGTTAATTTTAATTCTTTATATATCCCTAGGTTTTTCAGACCTGATTTAATTAAAACTCTAGGGCCAAAGATGGGTTAAGAGTTTTAAGAAGAACACAAAATCAACATTTTAAGGCAGTCAGAATAGTCTTGCCTTAGAAAGAAACAAGGTTTGACAGCAATTCACTAAATTGTTCCATTGAAATGATAGTGGATTTCCATGTGACATATATGTGCTAGCAAATTACTCGATGAATTCCACTCCCATTCCCTCAACAAAAAGAAAACTGATTTTTAAAAAGGGGGAAACATATTTACATATAAGAAATCAATTCAATGAAAACCTGATGACTGTTATTGCAAGAATTCACCTTTTCAAGGTTAAAAAAGGTAGTAAAACGTTTTATGTCAATAGCTATAGCTAAAAAGCAAATTCCAAAACACAGTAAAGACTAAACACTATGCTATAGGCCTTGGAAATGTTTGGATTCTTGACATCTAGCTGTACATGAACACGGGGAGAAAACAACAAATGATTCTGAGCTATGGAAATTTTCCCTATCATTGTAGAGATGGAAATTGGTGGACTGCTTCTGTCTTTTCCATTTTGTTTTATTAAATGGCATCACATTCAGGGAAAATATAGATGAACAAGGTAGGTCAGTTCTGCTATGACTGATTTATTTTCCCCCCACTGCTTCAAGTCCATGCAGTTTTAGGAACACCGAGCTCTGGCAAAATAACAGAATGTCTTTCAGAGCTCAATGTGAGGGTAACTGGTATCCACCTGAATAAATAGAAGTATGGTAGAAGTACCTGTGATGAAATAATAACCCAGCAAGGACTGATACAGAAATAATGGAAAATACAAAGGAGAACTAGAAATATAACTGCAAGAAACGCACTCAGTAAAACAGAAAATAGGATGCATATGGACAAAAGGTGAGCACTGATCACAGAGGCTGCAGAGGGCTTTGTGAGCAGTTGGACTTTGTGTCCTTCATCCAGGTCTCAGACAGCACAGAGAATTGATGATTTAATCTTTTTGACTCGTGCTTTAACACAAGATGACATTTTATATCCAAGTTAATGAATATTTGGGAGCCCTCTTTGCTAGATTAGAGAAGATGAGCAAAATAGGTCTCATATGATGTCCTAATATAAAGTACTGTATTTAGAATAGTAAATTGAGCAGTCCTGGAAGGACTCTAAAGTGATGAGCTTATTTATCTGATACCAATGAAGAATAACTGCTGATTTTATCAGGAGTTACTTAAGGACCTTCCACCCTGAGATTACCCTCCAGGATGCTGGAACATCTTGAACTAAAAAGCAAAGCATGGAAAATGCTTGCTATTTGGGGCTGGTGACTTACCCCACCTTACCACCTCCCCAAAGTATAATGATAATAACTGCAATTTCTGTAGTCCCTAAGGGTTTCCAGAGGATTTTCCCTATATGATCACATTGAGGCTCCCACCAACCCTTTGAATAACTAGGTTGGTATAGCCAGCTGTTTGGGGGGTAAGATTTGCTGTTATATAAGACATGATTTTCTGACAGATGAAATTCAAGCTAGTTATAAGGTGTAAATAAGGTGTTCCTCTATATGAAAATCCTTATATGAAAATCATTTTGCTAAAGTCATAGCACTAGTATTAATAGCACAACTTTTTTATTCCAGTACTGCACTGTCCATCATTTGCTCTCCTGGCTTATTAACGGTGACTCCTCAGATGTGGACAGCATTGGTAATCCCACAAGGCATGATCTCGCATATTACACACAACTTGGCCAATGTAGATGAAGTCGTATTGTAGTCTATAAATGGCTGAATATGGAAACATTGAAGAGGTTCACCAATGACCCCTGTTACACTTTCACCAAAGGTACATGAGTACTCTCTGACACCCTGACCATCCTCTCCAGAAACCTATTAGTCTTCAGTGTGTCTTTCCCAAAGAGGCTGGTCATTGGTACCAGTAGGGCATTAAAAATACAGAAACCTAACCCAGTGGGAAGGTCTTTCGTTGCTGTCTGCTGGAAGCCCAGCCTTGTTGTGGGTAACCAATGGATTAACCAGGCTGCTTACTACTAAGATTCCTCTTCCCAACCTACCATTCTTTCCCCAGATTTTCCCTATACCACTGCCCGGCACTGTCTCAGCAGTCTCTAATACTACAAAGTAGGCAGGAGAAGGAAACAAAAAAAGGAATATTTCTATCAGAAGCACACCATTTTCATGTCTGAGTTCTTGCTCAGACCTCTGAAGTCAACTTCCTTCCCAAACAAAGATATTTGCAGGGGCAGAAGGGCACTGCACACACTCATGGTTTTATTTCATTTTGTCCTTTGAAAAGAGAAATAGCAATGAAATGATTTATTTAAAATACCAGCTATGGAAAAAGCTCCTTGTAGACTCCAGAAAAAACAGCATCACCCTCCCAATTGTGAAATGTGCAGAACTTTATTGACAAAGACTTCACCTCTAGAAATAAGCCAAGGAGTGATGGGCAATTTCAAGTTTCCACATTCAACAGTCAAGTGATATATAATTACCTCCAGAACTGCAGCTGACATTCCTTCGGAAATGGAGCTATTCACGACAGCGAAGCAATTTTTCACAATGGCATGAAGATCTTCTCGAGACATCTCCCCCATCAATTGTACCCCAGATGCCCTAGAAATTAAGCAAGTCATGAAGAGCATCTTCCTTGACTTTCTTACAGGGGTGAGAGACCAAGGGGAAAAGATACACAATCTTTTCTAGAAAATGCCATAAGTAAACATAAATCACGGCCTATTCAAGGCAACTGGTGGTGCAGTGGAGAAGAGTGCTGGACCTAGAGTGAGGAAGACCTGAGTTCAGATCCAGCCTCATACACTAGCTGTGTGACCTTGGGTAACTCACTTCACCTTTGCCTGCCTCAGTTTCCTCATCTGTAAAATGAATATAACAGCACCCATCTTATAGGGTTGTTGTGAGGACAAACTGAGATAATATGTGTAAAGCACTAAGGACAGTGCCTGCCACATAGTAAGTGCTATATAAATGGTAGGTATTTGTTATTATAATAATTATTATTATTATTATCATTATTCTGCAGAGAAAGTTGCATGAAGATGATGACCCAGATTTTTATTGCAGAAACCTCTTGGGCATTTCTTTCTCTTCAAGTCCATATGGAATTAGAGCAGTACAGGTCCAAAGTACTCCTGTGATAGAGAAGCTAAGGAAATCTCACATTCAAAGCCTGATTCCAATAATTATCTTTTAAAATTAGCTCCTAGGACCCTCTGCTGCTATCTGTTCTGAAATATATGATGATAAGAGATGAACTCTGGCCTGTTGTCTCTTTGCTACTGTGAAGAAAAGCTAGCAAGGTTGTTTTGTCATTTTTTTCTCTCTTTAGGTGTGTAGCAAGGACAGTCCCCCTACCTTTTCACTCTGGCTTTCACTTCTCTTGTAAACACTGGATCAACCTGGGAGAAGGAAATAAAGAACAGTCTGAAAAATGCCACACAGTGAAATGTCACATACATCTCTAGTCAGTTACCTCGTACAGTAAGGACAGAAGAAGGTCTAATGAGGCAAGAAGAGGCAGCTACTTTCTTGCATTCAAATCAAAAGGGGCTAGTGCTCAAGGCCCAGAAATCAGGCAAGAGGAAGTGAAACTGAACAACAAATCAATCAATCCATAAAGTCTTTCCACCCAACCAGAACCATTCTCCAGGGAGGAAGGACCATGTCAAAAGAGTATTCAGCCACAGTCTAAAGCAAATGAAACCTCAAGGCACAACAGAATGTTTCAGCCAAGCCAAAATATCCATCCTGTAATGGAAAGGAGGGCTAAATTTGGAATCCAGAGGACCTAGATTCAAAACCAGAATCTGCATATTTAATACTTATGTGACCATGGGCTAGCTACTGTCCCTTGTGGGACTCATTTCCATTACCTATAAAATCTGGAGCTTGAATTCTAAATTCTCATTCTAAATGATCCTAATTCTAAATTCTATGATACTAAGTAGAGTTGATTTTTTTAAAATATGGAATCACACTGAAACTAAGTCAACACTACTAAGAAAGGTTTTTTCACTGCACAAAAGCTAAGTGAATTTTAGTTGGATAGGTCAAAATGTAACCCCTAGAGTTCAAAGACCAAAGATTGATCAGGCCAAGACCTACACTGGGTTTTCTTTTAAAATGCTGGTGGTGGTTTTTTTTTTTAATTTTCTGTAAGCAGGGTTTAAAAGCAATGCACAACTGCATAATTATGCTCAGTCTGTCAGGGAAAATAATGGAATTGGCTAACTATAGGCCAGAGATCTTGACTTCCATTCCAGGTAAAATTCTAGAATGTATTATCCTTTATTGGGAAGGATAGCTAGAAAAGGCCACAGCTCGCAAAGCACAAACATGGTTTCATCAAGGACAGGGCACAATAGACCAAGAATAGATCATGCCAGACTAACTTCATTTCTTTATTTCCTTTTTAATAAGGTACTTAGTAAACTGACAGATCTCGGAAACATGGCAGAAATAATTAACTTGGATTTTAGCAAAGCATTAGGTAAAATCTCTCATGATATCATACTGGAAAAGAAGACAAAGATGTGAGCTAGGCAACAATACAATTTTAGATGGACTTAGAAATGATTAAGTGGCTAGGCCAAAAGAATAATGGCTTTGTGTTGGTTAGGAAGGAGGGATCCAATCAAATTTCCCAGTGGTTTATGATCTGGTCCTGTGCTATTTAACATATATATATATATATATATATATATATATATACACACACACACACACACACACACACATATATATATATATATATATATATATATATATATATATATATATATATATATATATGTTTTTATTGATGACTTGGATAAAGGCATTAATGGCACGTTTATAAAATTTGCAGATGACATTGTTCTATTTCTGTTGAGGGCACCACCATCCTTCCAGTTATACAGGTTCATAATCAGAGATAGCATCTATTCTTCACTCTCTCTCACCCTCCACCTCTAATCAGATGTCAGATCTAGTCCATTCTACCCCCATAACATTTCCTCACATCCATCCCCTCCCCTCCACTCACACAGCCATCACCCTGGTTCAGACCCTCATTGGCCATCACCTGGATTATCCCAATAGCTTCTTAATTGGTTTCCTCACCTCAAATCTATCCCCAAAAGTGTAGCTAGAAAACAGTTCATCCAAAAAGTACCTGGGAGTTATAGTGGACTGCAAGGTCAGTATGAGTTCACAGTGTGACTTAAACCTAGGCTGCATTAAGAGAGACCCAGTCCAGGAGTTAGAAAGCAATAGTGCTATTGTACTCTGCCCTGGTAAGAGCACATCTGGAGTAGTGCATTCAGCCATTCTGGGTGCCATATTTTAGGAAAGGTATTGGTAAAATGGTCATTATCCATAAGTTGATGACCAGGATGGTGCATATGAGGATGCTGAACTATGGATATTTAACCTGGAAAAGGGAAAACAGGTGAGGATGGCAAGAGGGAGACTATAGTCATGTTCATGCTTATTAAGGGCTGTCATGTGGAAGGACTGACGCAGTCCCAGAAAGAATGGGACCAATAGGAAAAAGTTGAAAAGTGGCAAAGTTAGATTTGATATAAGGAAGAACTTCCTAAGAATAAGAGCTATCCCAAAGTGGAACAGGTGCGTTGGCAAGTAGGGGTTCTCCATCACTCCAAGTATTCAAGCAAGACTAGATGACCACATGACAGGCTGGGAACAATTTTTCCATCCCCAGAACTGGTTGGCCTAGATGACTACCAAAGTCTCTTTGAAATCTAAAATCTGGTGATTCTGAGACTCCCAATTTCAGATTTCTTCTTCCATTACATATCCAGGGATCAAAAACATGTTTTCAGAAGGATCACTTCCAAAAAACACTTCTCATTCTCAAGATTAATTCACACAACAATGCATTCCCAAACAGCCAAATTTAGAGCGTGCAATTTCCTACCCTCCAAAAGCTTACAGTCTTGTAGGGGAGATAAAGCCATGCGAATACAATCTAATTAAGGGCGAGTTACCTGAATTCTATTACAGAAGACTTGCTAGAAAGTAATAAGAAGAAGATTACTGTAGCAAATGGAATTTCATCTAAATCCACAAGCATGTAAGAATTTAGTGTCAAATGTGCTTAGCTAGTTCAATAACTGCTATCATCATTCTTGTGAACTCTCCAAAGCTTAGTAACAAAGATATTCCTTAATGCTTGAAGGCAATTTCTTTTTAAATAAAGGCCTGTCATTTTTCTCCCATTTCAACCAAATCATAAATACAATCTACCAATTCTTCTAATACTTTAGAACCTCACTAAAATTCTATTTGCTGAAAAGCCAAATTTAGCATAGGAGATAGATCTCATTCCCTGCATGTAGTAAGTTTACTGACTAGAAGTACAGAGAGAAAATTAAAAGACCTTTTCAACAGCAACAAAAGTTCCACAGCATGAACCTCCAGGGCAGATTTCTAAACAGCATCCGTTTAGCACATCTGACTCATCTAAATACAGTTAATTCTTCAGCATCATAACAGAAGTGGCTACTTTTTTTCCAATAAATTCATTCCTTCTCCAGTTGTTATCAACAGTGAGTACAACCAAAGACAAAAGTGAAAGCAAAATCTGGAAACTGATGAAAACACAACAGAAAATGCCACTTTCCTTGTGAAGGATGAGAGTGTGAATATGTTTAGCTAATACTCTATTTCCAGTACTCTATTTATTTTTATAAATGATGAGCTAGTAACACAATCCAATTAAAATCAACTCTCATTGACACATTGTACACACAAGGAGTTTCAAATAAAGTGGTTGCAAAAGAGAGGATGGGGGCAGCAAGGTGGCACAGTGAAAAGAGCACTGGCCCTGGAGTGAGGAGGACCTGAGTTCAAATTTGGCCTCAGACACACAGCACTCCGTAGCTGTGTGACTTTGGTCAAGTCACTTAACCTCAATTGCTTCATTCAAAAGAGAGAGAGAGAGAGAAGATGGCAGTCCAGGAGTATAAACGCTAGACAAAATGCTGTTGTGAACTTCAAGTATTTCATGTCAAAGATGATTCTCAGTCCAGATGTGTAGTGGATATTTGGATTTGGTTTGTTTATTTTTTAAACTTGTAAATTTTCAGATACCTTGGGTGATAGGGCAGTTTGTTTATTTTTTGTTTTTTGTTTTTGTTTTTTACTTTGAAAGGCTGGTGAAGTGGTGAAAATTCATCTGCATCATTCAAAGGATTAAATTGCTTTGGAAGGATAAAATGTTTTAAGGTGAAGTTGTAATGCATGTGAAAGGCACTTCTAGAAACTTTTCTCAAAAAATTTTTAAGCCTAAGAACAGTTTTGAAAGAGTTCTTCCAAATTTTCATAATAGGTTCATTAAAACTATGGAAAATCTACTCATCTGTTGCTATACCATAACCCAGAGAGTTTATTTTACTCAATACTGTTCCTCAGCTTTCTCCATCTGGAAGTGGAGGCTTTCATCTCCCCCAACTCAAATGCTACCAGCTCCATTTCCACTTTGCTAGTCACCACCTCTCCATGCACTCTCTCCCCCTCCTCCTGAACTCTGTAACCCTTTTGTGACACTCTTCACCTATTACCTGCATCCTAATTATCTACCTTATCTCCCTACTTTACTTTGAAGCTGCTGCTATCCTATATATTGAGTAACCTCTTAATGTCCAGCACAGGGCCCTAACACAGAACAGGCATTAAATAAACACTTGGTGAGTGAGTAACTAAATGATTCAATCACTCATCTGTCCAACCAATTTAGGGAAGCCTTCCAAAGCCCATTATAAAATTAATCTGTTGGATCAATGGGTAAGTTAACTTAGAAAAGACAGTGTTCTGAATTGCAGGGGATTCTGTGAATTATTTTATGATTATTTTCCATTAATATTCATATTTCACAATACTTCCTCACATTTATAAATGCTAGTACAGTGTGGGAACTGAGTCACTCAGCCAGCTACTTAGCATTTATGGAGCACCTACTATATTCCAGGCACATAGGAGATACAGTTTTCATGCTTATATTCTTACAGAGAAGACATGAAAATAAATATATGCATGCAGGATATGTACAAAGTAGAAGGAAGATAATCTCTGATCCTAAGTTTAGGTAATAACAGAGAAAGACTTCCAACTCATGTTCCACTCCTCCCTCTGATTACTCTATTACTTTTTACTGCTTCTTGCATGGTTTCCTTATCCTCTTTGACCTCTCTTTCTGACCTCTTCGTCCTCAACACCTTAAAAATGATCACTTCATGTCCTGATTCCCTTCTTTGAAAGCAGTAGGCTGAGGCTGAGGTGTGGGAAGTCCGAAGTCAGCTGAAGACAGCCATTATTTTCCAGGCTCACTCCAAGCTTTTCTCCACTTTCTAGGGCCTGGGATGAGTCAACCAATATAGGTGATAATTCTGGAAAATTTCAGGCTCTGAGAACATACTCCTTCAGCTATGGGTACCACCATCCACCAAAATGCTGTTCTGAAGGAACAGCTGCATGACATACTGGATCTATCAATGACATAACTAGAAACAACCAGAAGCAACAGGTCAAGCATCAGAGAAGCAGATTTAAGCTAGATATCAGGAAGAAAATAGAAGCCTAACAACAGAACTATTCAACACGGCATTGGTCATAAAGTCTCAAGTTCCCCATCACTGGGATTCTTCAAGCAAACGTTGCACGAGCACATACATGTTGTGGAAGCCATTCCAGTCTGGGTCAGAATGGGACAAGAGAGCCTTCAAGGTCCTTTCCAGCACCGAAAACCAGAATTCCAATGAAGTTTGCTCTCCTTTTTCCATTTCTGTCTTACATATACAAATTAGGTTACATGCCTAATTTTTAAAATTTTCCTTCAAAAAATGAAAATTTAATATCACATTTGGACAGGCCCAAAATAAACTAGTCTTGTAATATACATGGATATACACACTCAAGTTTAGGAAGGTGTTTCCTCTAATTCCACAAATATTTATTGGGCAATTACTGTGTGTTAGATTGTGTTTTACTCTCCTCTAAACATTAAGATGTTGTATAATCTATCCCTTTGTTTTCTAAGATATTCACTCTGGATTTTTGTTCTCGTGATTATTTATTTAGAACACAATTCATTCAAGAACAAATAAATCAGATCTTAAAAGACCAATGAAATGCTTTACATCTTAACTATAGGCATAAGTGCAGTCTTTAAGGGTAAAAACCAAACTTCTTTATTCCATTTCTAGCTTTACCTTTTATTTGAGGTCATTTTTCAACTCCCTTGGTGCAATGGATTTGCACAAAATGCAAATTCAAAATGAAGGGCAGGCATTTTGACTTAATGAAAACACATTATGACATTTTAAAAGGCAATAGCATTATAAACAAAAAAGAAAATCCTTATTTCCTCCATGGGTATGTATTTTCTAATAAACAAGCTTCTGCTTTCAGGGTTAAAGAAAATAAACTTGGATTTGATCAGGTAAGTTGAAAGATTTCCCATGATAATTTCATGCTCCACATTTCTATATTGTACTCTTTATCATAGAACCTCAGAAAATATACCCGTTCATAATTCTCCTACAGGCAGAAGCAATATAGGAATTAAAATGTCTGAATTGAGAGTAAAAGGAACTTTAAAAAAAAAGGAAGGAAGAAAGAAAAAGAAAGGAAGGAGGGAGGAAGGAAGGAAGGAAAGAAAAAGAATGAAGGAAGGAAAGAAGAAATTACCAACAGCAAATTATATTGGTTTCTCATATACATATACATATACATATATACACATGTATATGCATACACATATATACATATAAAATAAATGGTTTGTGCTCTAAATATGGCTGATAGAGGGCAGAGCCACAATTTACAAATTTTCCTTTGGCAGAAACTATACTTAATATCAAGATTAATTCTCATACCATAAATGTAGAGGAATGAAGTAAATGCTGTACTTGGAGCTAGAGGATGTGGCCTTTGCTACTTAGCATCTCTTTGCTTTTGGACAAGTCACTTCAAATCTCTGGCCTCAGTTTCCAAGTCTAAAGTGAAGCAATTCAGAGTTAGCATGATTTCTAAGGTTCCTTCCAGCTCTAACATTTTATGACTCCATGCAAGTTAAAAAATAGACAAATGTCCTTGTTTTAAACTTGGTGCATCACAGCCTAGCCCTTTGGGCAGGGAGCTGAAGCAATATGCAGAGAAGTGATGATGGGGCAGGCATAAAGCAGAGAAAGAGGCCTCAGAACTCTGGCACTGCAGCAGGATGAGAGCATTTCCCCTTCCAACAAACCTGAGGTCAGCGAGGATGCTCTGGAACAGGGCGAGACCACAAAGACACAACCAGTGGTTTGTGGACACAACGTCGTGGAATTAGACTTTCTATCACTCATGCCTTTACAGAATCACAGAATTTCTGACCTAAAGGGGAATCTATATTTTAAAAAGGAGCCCTGTATAACATCCCAGACAAATGGTCATTGGGCTTTTGCTTAAAGATCTCAAAGGAGAGAAAATCCACTATCTTCTGGGGCAGCCCCTGTCAGTCTGGGTCACATCTAATTATTAGGAAGTTTTCCCTTACATCAAGCCTGAATGTGCATCTTTCAGACTTCAACCCATGATTCCTAGTTTCGTCTATTAGAATCAAGCAAATGACTAATCTCTCTCCCAGGTGCTGGCCTCTAAAATACCAAAGATGATTATCACATCCTGCCTATAGTTTCTCTTCTCTAGGTTAAAACTCTTCAGTTTCTTCAACTGACCTCAGAGGGCAGAAACATGAAGCCCTGCACTACGCTGGCTGCCCCCTGCTAGACGCTCTCCAGCTTACCAATGCCCATCTTTGTTTTTTTTCTTTCTTTTTTTTTTTAGGCAATTGGGGTTAAGTGACTTGCCCAGGGTCACACAGCTAGTAAGCGTCAAGTGTTTGGTCTGAGCCGGATTTGAACTCAGGTCCTCCTGACTTCAGGGTCGGTGCTGTATCCACTGCACCACCTAGCTGCCCCCACCAATGCCCTTCTTAAGCCACGACCCTCAGAACTGAACAAATACTCCA